TCCATTTTTTATAACAGTTAACATTTTTAAGTAATTTGTAAAATGTTAATATTTATTTTGTTAGCTAAGTTATATATGGAATATTAATTTCGTTTTTAATGTAATTTGGAAACAATGACATTTTATAAAAATAATAAACTAATATAATGATGTGTCATTATACGATTGGAGGACTTAAATCCTACGTGGACGTCCTCAACTTTTATATAGTATATTAAAATTTTACAACTTACTTAAAAATGTTAACTGTTATAAAAATGGAAATAAAAAAAAATATTGACAAAACATTATTGTCTTTTTAGATATATTAAATATAAAGTTTATTTTATACAAAAATAAAATAATAATATAATGGTAAAATAGTATAAGTAACAAAAATCATCTTACAAAAATAAAATAAATTCAATTTAATTTTTTTTTTAAATCTCATTGTTTCCAAATTAGTTTAATTAAAATTTATATTATCTAATAAATTAGGTTGTTAATATAAACTATATAAAAGTTGAGACTATAAGCCATTGAGAACATCCACATAGGATTTAAGTCATCCAATCGTATAATGACACATCATTATATTAGTTTATTATTTTTATAAAATTTCATTGTTTCCAAATTATATTAAAAACGAAATTAATATTCCATATATAATTTACCTAACAAAAATAATTATTAACATTTTACAAATTACATAAAAATGTTAACTGTTATAAAAAAATGGAAAATCAAAAATAAAACGTAATATTAACAAAACATTATTTTATTTTTAGATATACTAAATGTAAAGTATCATTTTTAGAAAATGTCAATGTTTCAAAATTATTTTAAAACGAAATTAATATTCCATATATAATTTAACTAAAAAAAATATTAAAATTTTAAAACTTACTTAAAAATGTTAACTGTTATAAAAATGGAAATCAAAAAAAATATTGACAAAACATTATTGTCTTTTTAGATATATTAAATATAAAGTTTATTTTCTACAAAAATAAAATAATAATATAATGGTAAAATAGTATAAGTAACAAAAATCATCTTACAAAAATAAAATAAATTTAATTTAATTTTTTTTTTAAATATCATTTTCCAAATTAGTTTAATTAAAAATTATATTATCTAATAAATTAGGTTGTTAATATAAATTATTAGTTTTAAAATGTTAAGATTTACAAATTTAAATGTTAGGATTTCCAAATTTATCTATGTTAACATAAAATGGAATAATGCAAATTATTAATATAAATTATTAGTTTTTAAATTGTTAAGACTTCCAAATTTAAATGTCTGGATTTCCAAAGTTCTGTATATTAACATAAAATAGAATAAAGACCGTTATTAATATAAATTATTAATTTTAAAATGTCAAGATTTCCAAATTTTAATGTTAGGATTTCCAAATGTTTGTATATTAACATAAAATACAATAAGAAATTTTATAATATATGAAGTATTGGGTGACTATAAATAATTGTGTGAAGTTCTAAAAGTTTTCAAAATATATGTTGAGAAATAGAGAGATATTGTAAAGAGAAAAGAGAAATTG